CATCAACTTTCCTGCTCCTCTGATGCTGCCTGGCCTGCTGTGTTCCTTCAGCTCCACACTGTGTTGTCTCTGACTCCAGCATCTGCAGTTCTTGCTATCTCATTTTGAGGTCTAGACTTTCTCTGCAGGGCCCAGAAAAAAAAACATATTCAGTCCTTTTGGCCACACAAGGACAAGTACTAAAACTGTTAGGTCAACTCTGGTAAGTTTCACTGAGCATCACATGGACTGTGATATTCGCATAAATGACTGTGTTAAGCAGCTGGCTCAGTGTGGTGCAAAAGCAGAAGGGCTAAAGATGCAACAAGGCAAGAACTGTAGTAACAAACACAACTGCATAATTTTCACTCTCATCTCGCTCAGTTTCTGTCAGACAAAAACAGACTAAAATTCAGAGGAGCAGGAAAGTTGACTTTTCCAGTCGGGACCCTTCTTCAGAATTCAGATTTCTGAAGAAGAGTCACAACCTGAAACATCAACTTTCCTGCTCCTATGATGCTGCTTGGCCTGCTGTGGTCATCCAGCCCTGCACCTTGTTGTCTCGGATTCTCCAGCATCTGCAGTTCCTACTATCTCTAAAATTCCACTTTTCTCATTTAAACTGGGAAGAATAGGAAAAGAATGTAAATATAGTCAAGTTATAAGCAATGACATGTTTGAGGTGCAGGGCTACAAGACTCCTATTTCAAATGTAGAACAAGTTCAAAATTAAAGTGATGTTGGAATGTCTTACTCCTTCTGTTTCCACCCTGCACTTTATGTGGTAACTTATTCATAACTATTGCAAAAGAAGTCGGAAAAATATTATGCTCTCAAAAATGAGTTACAATGCTTTTAGTCAAATTAGCCAGAAAATATAGCATTGAATTTTCTAAGTTATTGCAGTAGTTGAACCCTGATGCATCACTGATAGCATTGTCTTTGGTCACCAGAGAAACACATATTGGACCGTGTTTTCTTACAGCCACCTAGTTTTTCTGAAGTTCAGATGTGTGTCAGACACCTGTGGAATTTCCCGCATAACAGACTCAGAGATTCAGATCAAAGAGTCTGATGGGCAATTCCCCTACACCTGGAACCCTCTAAAAGTACTCATTTAAATCAGGGAGTTCGAACAGTTTTTCTCACAGTTAAGTTAATGGGTACTAAGGAAAGACTGGACCTAGTCATCGTTGTTTAACTCCTGGGTAGCTGTTAAATTGACACCTCTCCTGACCACATGCACCCTCAACTAGGCACCCATCCTGCAGACTCTGGCCTGATAATCCACTCAGGACCTGAAAGTGCAATACCAGCGCTAGACCTGACAACTCCCTCTCTCCTGGCACACAACAATTCACTCTCCCTCCAGGACCCGAGAGTCTCCTCACACCCCAGATCCTGTCACCTCTTCTCTTCCTGGGACTCAACACCAACCCCTCATCCTGGGGCAGACAAACCCCTCTTCCACTGAGAACCGAAACACTGATCTGCTTTCAACAATGCCATTAAGCACCAGGACTCAGCACCACCCTCCCACAGGATCCGACACCACATCCTCAGCCCAAGACCCAACACCTCCTTCCTTATGGGAGTTGACACCTCATCT